TTGTCTTTTTGAGACAGGGTCTCCCCATGCAGTTCAGGCTGGCTTTGAGCTCACTTTGTAGCCCACGCTGGTCTTGAACTCCCAGTGATCCTCCTGCCTCAACCTCCCAACTGCTGGGATTACCAGTGCGAGCCACCATGCCCACTCCCTTTAACAAATATTTATGGAGCATCTAGTGTATGTATTGTAGGGGGAGGAGAATGTGAAGGAGCTGGGTAAAGAACGGTGGCTACAGTCTGGCAGAGGAATGAAGTAAGAATATTCATTTAGTAAACTTTTGAATTTTGAAAAATTACAATGTGGTGTGTGCCGTGACTCTTTGGTCTTCCATCCACTTTCTAATCCTTGGTTAACTGGTTTTGCCTTCCTCTGTACTGCAGTAGTTTATTTTCTGTGACCATCACCAGTGTCTTCTAGCCATCCTGTCAAGTGGCTTTAGTACATCCTCTAACATTCTGAGTTACTCTGTCACATCCTTTCTGTTCCATCAAGACTGAAACACAGGGGCCAGGGAGATGGCTCAGTAGAATAAGCACTTCCCTGGCAAGTGCAAGGGCCTGAGTTCAATCCCTGGCTCTGAAAAAAAAAAAAAAAAGACTGAAACACAATTCACATTACATTCCTGAGCATTCTTCGTGGCACTTGCTAGCGGTGTGTGTAGTTCATGAAGGAGCAGCAACATAGGTAAGGAAAGTTTCATTAGCTACAACAGAGCTATGACTAAGGAATGAAAAGCAGATATTGATAAAGGTAGGTTTTAAGGAAATTTGAAAACAAATTAACATTTTACCACTCCTTGGTTTTTCTTTTTTATTGCCCAGCTTCTAAATGCTAGGTTCCCAGAACTTCGTTTTTGTTCTTTTCCTTTCTGCACCGCAGGATGGCATATAATTGCCAACTTTAGTCCTTTGTCAATCCTTGTGTGTGGAAAGATTCTGAGGCTTTCTTTGGATTCATCAGGGAAGTCTTCTGCTTGTGCTATTTCCTATGAATTCTGTTTTTAAGTGATGACATGGGCCTGGTCCAGACCATCTCATTTATAGATAGTCTTGCTTGATGACATCATAGAACCCCGTGGGTTTGGCTCTGTGTTGTGCGCTAACATGGATGTTTCAGCCCAGGCCTCATTTCCGGGTTGTGGATTCCTCTATCTAACAGCCTTTGGGCTCCAACTGAAATTGTCTTCATTCAGTATGTTGAAAATTACTCATTTGTTCTGTCTGAACCTGCTTCCGCCTGGATTCCGTCAGTAAAAGATACCACCTCTCCACTCAGTCACAGAATTGAGAATTCTGGAAATTGTTCTAGACTTCTACATTCTTTTGTGTTGAAATGATCACCAGGTTCTAGATTGTTTTGTTCCTATTCCTTTGTCTCCACTGCCTTAATTCAGCCTCTTACTACTTCTCCATACATATCTCCTTGACTCTGCTTTTCCTTTAGTATGTCACATGCTGGCAGAAAAATCAAATACCAGTCTGACCATCTCCACTTCCTAGTTAAAACATTTTACTTGTATTCTAGCTTTGGGAATGGTTTGAACTCCCATGCTTAGCTTAGTATGCAGAGTCTTTCACATGAGACTTACTCCTTACCTGTCTTCTCAGCTGTCCTCTGTCACTGTCACATATACCTTTTCTTTCAACCATGCTACTATTATGTAACTGTCAGAACTGCTGTTTTCATGCTGTTACATATAGTTAACTCTGCCAGATGATCCTATAGCTTCTTTTTGATACAGCTAACCCCCCAACATATGACTGAAAATTTTCAAACATGTAGCAAAATTGAAAAAATTTTACAATCAGTATTAACTACCTATAATTTACAATTATGCAGTATTATATTTTACTGCACTTAGTTTATCACATATATGTCTATTTATCCTGCTGTTCATGCACTGATATATCTTACTTTTGGTCCACTTCAAAGTAAATTACAGGGATTAGTTTTTCTTTCTCTAAATACTTCTGCAAATGATCCTTAATTGAGTCCAGCCAATCCAAATGTACATTTACTAAGCTTTAACAAATGCATACAACTGTGTAATCCAAGTCCATGTCAAGATAGAGATCATCACATCACCTTTGATGTCGCCTTGTGTTCCTTCCAAGTTAGTCTCTTTTTTTGAATTGTATAACGAGATCTTTTATTTAAAAAAAAAAAAAAAATTAGAGATGAACAAAATTAGTCTCTTTGAAGAAAAAAGAAAGCAGGTTTTGGAACCTGCCAAAAACAAAAAAGGTATTACAGTGATACCAAGGAAACAGGCCAAATTGCTCAGCGGATTGGGTTCAAGTCCCTGGCATGCCGTGCAGGCCTTGGCCCTGGCCACGCCCCGCCCCCGGGGCAAGCCAAGCCAGATCACTAGGAATCCAGTGTAGTAGTGAGACCCTGAACATCTGTAGATCCTTCCTTTCTGTGGGATGTATCTCCTGTTGGGTTCTGATGTAACAAAAATGTTTTACATATTCCAATCTGTTTTCATTCTGTCCTTTAAATCTTCCATTTGTCAATGGCTTCAATTAGGCTTTTAGTGAAAGGGAGTAGTTGTTTCATTCATAGTTGGATTGATATATTACTGCTAAGCACAATGCTTGACACATATGTAATATTCAGGGAATGTTTGTGGAAATGAGCAGTATTGATGGTGATGGTTAGAGGGTTTGGTTGGAGGTATGCTAATTAAATTGATTTTTATATTTTGGCTGCTACATTTTGGATTAAGTTATCATTAATATTTGTTGGATGGCCTTGGTGTACAGGTGTCCTAAGTTCTTAGCAAAGTAAAGATTACTAACTTAATGTTTTTTAAAGATAAGTATGTAAGAGAAGTGAGTATTCAGACATACATAGTGTACTCCTAGGTTTTCTATATAAGTAACTAGGAAAACATTTGTTTTATTTTGTATTTTAAAACCAATTTCTGCCCTTCTTTCTTGCCCATTTACTTATTTTGCTCTCTCTCTCTCCATCTTAACCTGGCAGTACCTTTGGTTTGGTAGATTCGGATGGACCTTGCTATGCAGTCATGGTATATAATATAGTCCAGAGCTGGGGAGTTCTCATTGGGGACTCTGTCGCCATCCCTGAGCCTAACCTTCGGGTTCACCAAATTCAGCACAAGGGAAAGGTGAGTAAAGGGTAGGGTTTAATTGCAATTCATAGGCTCCATGCTGATGTCTTTTTAAAAAAATACTGTAGACAGCCACGTGTGGTGGTGCATGCCTATAATCCCAGCAATCAGGAGGCTGAGGCAGGAGGATCAGTGGGAGTTGGAGACCAGCCTGGGCTACAAAGTGAGCTCAAGATCAGCCTGAACTGCATAGGGAAACCCTGTCTCAAAAAGACAAAAACGAAAAACAAAAAAAAAAAACACCTGTAGGCATAAAAGTAAATCTTGCATTATGAGTGTGAATGTATGTATGGCATACATACATATTTATGGTACTTGTACACACAAATATATATAAATATACATACATACATATATAGCCTGCCAAAATATGTTTACATCAGGAAAACAAAAACTTACAAATATTTTAATATTAAATTTATTGAGACATCATGAGGTTAATACAAGTTAGCTTTGGTTGCTATAATTTCAAGAGGTGCTCAAAACAGGCCGTTAGCTTTCAAACCTCATTTATTTATCAGTATGGCAAGCTACTGATGTCTCTCTCTCTCTCTCTCTCTCTCTCTCTCTCTCTCTCTCACTGTCTCTGTCTCTCTTGCTCTCTCTCTGTCTCTGTCTCTCTTTTACTCTCTCTCGTGTGTGTGTGTGTGTGTGTGTGTGTGTGTGTGTGTGTGTGTGTGTTTGAATTGACACATAGTAGTAGTGATAACAGTTAACATTTACTGAGCACCTAACTAGTGACTAGCCATTGCCAAGAATTTTACTGCCTACTCTGCCTGATTCAGTGTTCATGGAAACCCTATGGGAGTAGATATTTAATCGTTTTTAGCACTTAGGTCAGAGGCAGCTAGTATGGTACATTGACTAAATCCTGCTTTCTGCCTATTACAATGCCTGAGAGCTAGGAATAGTCAGTATATTTTTAAATGAAAAACTGAAAGAAGTATATTTTGCGGTGTTCACATTTTAATGTCCATGAAGCTGTAAAGCAGTGGCACAAGCCACAGTGCATGTTTCCGTGCAGGCTGCCCTTCTCGTAAGTGTCAGCAGCGAGCCGGTACACAGCAGAGCCCATCCAGCCCGTAAGGCTTCAAGTACTACCGTCGAGCCCTTTCACAGAGTTCAGTGACTCCATATGTTCTAGATTATTTCATTTTTCCCCTTAGGAAGGTACTGCAGTGAACACTTTCGGTGCTATTAGGGAAGGAATCGAGGGCCTCACACGCACTAGGCAGGTGCTCCGCCACAGAGCTATGTCCCCAGCCCTCGGAGTGAACGTACGTTTGTTCATGTCTTTGCCCATGTCTTTGTTTCCTTTATGGACTTTAATGTAGAATCTTGGGTCCAAAGGACATACAGGATACAAGGCTTTCAGTACGTACTGCCGAATTAGTCTCTGGAAGGTTGCCAGCGAGTTGCTGTTACCAGCAGTGCATGCATTGTTTTCCTGGTTCTCAGCATAAGAAGAAACCTCGAAAAATTACTTGTAGTATTTATGTGAAAAATAAAGTCGCAATTCTGGTTTAATTTGGTGTCTTGATTATTTGTGAGGCTGAATACGTTATTATGTGTTTGTTGACCATGTTTCATCTATAAATCACCATTTTTTGTTACTTGCTATATTCCTGTTATGGCTTTTTAAAAAATTGATTTATGAGAACTTTTTAACTTATTTTACTTTAAAGAACTGTATTCACACTGCTAGTGGAAGAATATACATATATAACACATATATATGTAGTGTATTATACATATATAATATACAAAGCATATATACCCTCTAAGCTTTTTGAGGCAGGGTGTTGCTGCTAGTGCATGCTTCCCTTAACTTCCTGTGAGGCGCAGATTGGCCTTGTGCTCGTGATCCTGGCCCCTCAGCCTCCTGAATCCCGCCCTACTGAGGCATGGTTGGTGATTTTTAGCAGCTCATTAAAAAATACATTTGAACTGGGAAGTGAGCTAATATCTCACTGGCATTTTTTCTGCTAAATATTTTATATCTTAATATTAAAGGGGAATTAATTTGTATTTGGCAGCTTAATTTAGGGCCTCACAAAGCTCTGGACTGACCATTTCTGAGAATTCCTCAGGCTGGGGTTGGTTGCTGTGTATCTGGCTACTTGTCAAGAAACTTTGTGGGGTATGCAGATTCTGTGAGAGCTGGAAGCATCCTTTTGTCAGGCAGTGGGACAAATTTGCCTTCACTGAATCAGAAAACAGTCCCATTCTTGTATTTTCTTTCCAAATGTTGAAAACAGCTGAGTTTTATCTAATGTGAAAGGTGTAAGGGGTACACATGGGGGAAAGATGAGGAACATGTTACAGGTGGTGAATCTTGTGGTGGAGTTTTTTCTGCCTTGGGGGCTGTGATGAACCTCTTTTTTCTTTCAGGAGTATTCCTTTTCCAGCGTTCGTGTGGAGACGCCCCTCCTGCTCGTGGTGAATGGAAAGCCTCAGGGCTCCGGTAGCCAGGCTGCTGCCACAGTGGCATCGCGACCGCAGTGTGAATGATGTCTCCTGACTTGCTTGCTATAGAGGGAGCAGTGGCGTGGAGAAGAGCTCAAGGCACTTGGCAACTGGATTAGCCACATTCAGTGACTCCACTGGGAGTGGCGGAGGGTGCTTTACACAGAGACTTTCCCGTCCTGTCATGGAAGATCCTCTTAACTCTTTCCTGTCGTGTTCCAGATCCTCTAGGGCCACACACTTCCCTGGTGTAGCTCCCCTGCCTCTTTGAAGGCTGGCTGTTTTAAGCAGGGTGTAGCATTTGTGGGAGTGTTGGGATCTTGACATGGGAAAAAAATCCCCAGAATTCCTGTTCTGGCCTCCTTCCTGAGTCTAATATGTATATATCAGTTCAGTATTTATTGCTAAAGGAAGGGGGCTTAACTTTTTAATGGCTTGATTTTTGAGCAATTTTTATTTTTATTTTAAAGATTTAGTTTCTTCCCCTTCTTTGGGGTTGGAACGGAATTAAAGTTTCTTGGAAAAAAAAAAAATACCCAATAGTTTGGTCTGCTTTATTTTCTCCAGACTTGGATTCTTGCTTTTAGGATCTCTTCAGTCTGTCAGAGCAATCTCTCCCTTTTGGTCTTTATACAAAACAGTTTTTTTCTGAAAATCTCAAAAAGGAATGATAGCTCCAGAAGTTGAAGACCATCTTTCCATTTTCTCATTTTGTCATCCCTAGTGGTGGTCCGCCCCACAGCCCTAGATGACAGGTCCGTGCTATTCTAACAGTTATATGCCTGAACAGCCAGAAAGAACTACATATTCAGAAGGGTTTTTTGAAGGTGTAATATATTTTATAACAGTTTCTTAATATTCTTGTGAAAAATGAGATGTTATTGAGGCTTAATAACCAATTGAATAGCTGTGCCAATGTTAATGCATTGGGTGTATGTGAAAGACTTCTAAGCACTAGCTATTTTACGAAGATAGCTTAGATCTTCGTCCTTGGCCTGGTCCTGTTCAGCGCTTGTTCAGTGACTTGAGTACCACTGATAAAATAATGACTACAGAAGACTGAGGATTCAAAAATTGGATAACAGTATTTGTCTAAAATTATAAAGGCTGAATCTAGCAAGATAAAAATTTGAAGCCATTCTTTCAGACCAAAAAGGCTAACTTTTTGAAGTGTATCTTTAACATATGCCATAGGTAAGTTAAAATCAGTATGAGTAACTGGTATGATATAATTATAAAACTTCTGGACTGTACTGAGGAATCTGATAAGCACAGAGTATTTACTACTGTGTCCATCATACCGCACAGGGAATCTTAGATCCAGTTTCAGTGTTAGTCTTGAGGAATATAATTACAGAAGTGTAATCAGCAGTTTGTGGTCAAATGAAATCTTGAGCAGTGGCCCAGAGCAACTGGGGAATAATGGTGGTAAGAGACAGTAGAAATGAAATGAGACCCAATAACTTCCCCTTTTCCTGAAGTCCTGAGAAGCTTCAACATACGCTGTGTATGGGGGAAAAAAATCAGGTGGTAACTAGACAAACTATGAAAGGTACAAAGTGTATTATATACAATTTAAAGAGTAAGTGGAATACCTGTGAAATGTCCATCAGTCTTAAAAGCTGGAATCACTGGCAGCTTGGAAGCGCTTTGTGTGCCTCTCCACGGTCTAATCACTGCTATGAATGGGTGATTCGGCTCTCATCCTCTTCAATGACTCACGTCTTTCATTTTATTTTAACATGTTTTAGTTGAGTGGACTGTTCATGAGAACAAGGCTGCCATACTGCTGGACATGGATATTTCAATTCAGTGAAGATGTTACTGCTGAAGCTCCCCAAAACTGAACTGTCCAGTTAGGAGAGGTGAATTATATTTCAAGACTGCTAGATAGGTAACCAAGAACACTGTATCTGGAAGCAGTTACATGAATTTTATATCCAGTCCTAATATTTTATCACTCAGACTTACTATAATTCTGCTATAACTGGTCACTCAGAAAGTGAGGGGTGGGTTGAGTATTAATCTAGGTAGACTCAAAGCATTTCTAGACCAAAATACAAATAAAGAGCTCTTCAGATCAACTTTGAGTATTTGTAAGAAATACTTGCTGTTATTTTTTCCTCAGTTTTGAAGCAGATGATGTTTGCAGCCTACTCTGAAACAATAATAAAAAAATTGTTAATAACTTCCGTCTTGGCTGGGGAGATGGCTCAGTGGTATAAGCGCCTGCCTGGGAAGTGCAGGTCCTGAGTTTGATCCCTGTACCAAAAAAAATAAGCAACAAAAATAATTCAGTCTTGAGTAGCATCTCCACTGCTAACTGTGTCCTTGTCTGTTCTTCCGGAAATCCTATATAATCCTGGGTCTATATACATGAGAGACTTTTTTTTGTGGGGAGGGGGATGTTGTCTGGAAATGGGAGCCTGATACTAGCACCACCAGTTTATTGATTCTAAAGTAACCATTCCTTTCTGTCAAAATTTAGCATGTCATTATAATTCAGAAATTTATAGCTGGGCATGTGGCACAGGCCTGTGATCCTGGCACTCGGGCAGCTGAAGCACAAGGAGCCCTGCAAGTTCAACCTGGACTACATAGTTCAAAGCCAGCCTGGGCTACCCTGTGTCAAAAAACAAAACAAACACCATAACCAAAACCCCCATGAAATTCTTGTCATTTAAATTATAGAATTAAACTTAAATTTTTTTATCTGTGTTAGTAGATGTTTGCAGTGTATAATGGTTAATCATAGGAAGCTGATGTATATAGCATTTTCTTTTTACTTTCCCTCCCTCCAACTTCCCTCCCACTTGTGAAAGCTTTAGCTCCTTGTTTAATAGTCAAAAATAATTATTCTATCACCTTTTATTTTTTAAAATTTATTTTTTGTATCGCCTTTTAGATTTGGTGAAATACAGCAATGTTATTTTGTGGCAGTTCTGTTCTTCCTAATTCTTTTTTATATATGATGGGCATCTTTCCATGACAATGCAAATTTATCACATTATTTTAAAATGACCACATAAATTTCCAATAAATGGACATAGCATCTTTTGTTTAATCATTCTGAATAATACAATTAACATTCGTAAATTTTTCTATGCTTTGAAAGCATTTCTTTTGGTAAATTTCATGAAGTGAAAGTAATTTGATAGACATTGCTAATTTGTATTTTATAATGGATATATTGATTTATACTTCAGGTTTGTTTATTTATTTTGTGGAACCGGGGATTGAACTCAGGCCCTTGTACTTGCCAGGCAAGCACTTATTCTACTGAGCTATCTCCCCGGCCTTCAGGTGTTTCAATGAATGCCTGTTCATGAGCTGTGTATGATTTACATGCCAGACAGACAATATGATTTTTTTATTTTGCATTTTTTTATATTTGTGACCATAAGTACCTTATTAATAAAACATTTTCCTACTTATAGATTTGCTGTGAAGTGTAATAGAGGGCATTCAAGACCAAGAAAACTAAAAATTTGTGATAATATTTAGAAAATGATACAATATTTTGTACATTCTGCATGATGTAATTATATTGAATTGCAATTTCTTCATTACGTGATTTGAACTCTTTAGTACAGACATGGATTCATGTTTACCTTTGAGTTTTGGACTTTGTCACATACTTCTGTGTGCATAAGACATTGCCTGGGGCTGGAGAGATAGCTCAGTAGAATAAGCGCCAGCATGGCACATGCAGGGTCCTGAGTGCAATCCCAGGTGTGTGTGTCTGGGGGACGGACTTATAAGACATTGCCTGATGCAATGACAAACTGTTGGTGAGATAGATTGTGGGTTTGGAAAACAGTATATAGACTAATATAGAGGATGTTGACCACTAGCATGCAGAATAGTAATGATTTGGGGAATTGACACTGATACAGAATAGTAATGATTTTGAAAGTATTCTTTTGGCTTGAGCCTATGAAATGTGGCTCCTGTTCTAACAGTTGCTCTTGTTAGTGGACTGAAATAGTAGACTACTGTGGAAACAACAAATAGTATTTATTTATTTATTTATTTATTTCACACAGCCATTCAACGGAGAAGCCAGAGAGTCAGGCAAAGACGGTATAACAAGCTCAGTGATAGGGTGGGGCGGGGCGGGGTGGGGCCAGGCGAGAGGGGACAGACAGGCTGGCTAATTGCATTCCCTTAGGACACTGAAAACCCAGAAAACAAAACAGACAGTAAACTACCCTTGTTTTCTTACATATCTCAGTGCAGAGATGGGGAAGAGAGTAGAAGGGACCAGGCTGAAGGAGGAGGGGCAAAGGGAGGGGCACTAAGAACAAATAGTTTTTAAAAGGCCATTCATTAGTTCCACATAAATTTATTGAGCTCTCATTAAGTACTAATCTGGGAGCTATGACTTCAAAGGTAAGAAGCATGCAAAGCTCAGAGCCTATAGGACATAGATAAATAATTAAAATGTCATGTCATGAGTGCTGTAAGGACAGATTCATTAAGGTCTACCTTGGGTAACCTATAACTGAATCTTGAAGAGTATTTAGCATTACAGAATCACTTGTGCAAAGGCAGTGAGATAAGAAAGAACATAGGAATTTCCAGATATTAAGAATTTAGGGGCTAGTGAGATGGCTCAGTGGTCTAAAGCACCTACTTAGAACAAGCTTAGCAAAGCACAGGGACCACGGTTCAATCCCCCAGCACCACATGCCAGCCAGCCC